TAATTTTTTGTATTTTTAGTAGAGACGGGGTTTCACCATGTTGATCAGGATGGTCTCGATCTCTTGACCTCGTGATCCACCCGCCTCGGCCTCCCAAAGTGCTGGGATTACAGGCTTGAGCCACCGCGCCTGGCCCCCAAAAAGTTTTAACTTGATAAATGTGTAAGAGGAAAGCCCTCCAATTTAATTTCCTGTGTGCTGATAAATCTACTAAATACTTCAAGTCAGAGTGCCAAAAAGTGTCACAGAATTCCCAAGATGGCCACAGATATTCACAGATCTTGAGTATTTCTCTTTAATGGGGAAATGAGGAATCTTGGCAGCCTCTATCTCTAGGTCTTTGAAAGGACTTTAGAATTAATCTACATTGGCCAATGTCCAATGTTAACACAGAACTTTTAGAAATAAAAGAGGCCTTAATCTACAGCACCAGAAGTAGTTACCATATCAGACAGCAAGAAAATTATCTGTGAATTTTTTTTTATTGTTAGACTTACACTGGACTTTGACAATAGGTCCTTTATCACTTATCTACCACCCTTAGGGTCAGATAGGGTTTCAATTTCAAGTTAAAAAAAAAAAAAAAGATTAGGGTCAGGCTCGGTGGCTCATACCTGTATGGGAAGCCAGGGTGGGTGGATTGCCTGAGGTCAGGAGTTCAAGACCAGCCTGGGCAACATGGTAAAATCCCATCTCTACTAAAAATACCAAAAAAATTAGCCAGGCGTGGTGGCGCAAGCCTGTAATCCCAGCTACTCGGGAGGCTGAGGCCGAAGGATCTCTTAAACCTGGGAGGCAGACGTTGCTGTGAGCTGAGATCACCCCACTGTACTCCAGCCTGGGTGACAGAGCAAGACTCCATCTCAAAAATATAAAAAATAAAAACAAAAAATATGAATACAGTGAGTATACTGAATATTTGTAGTTTTGACCTGCTCTGTTTCCAACTTGGGCTGGTCCACCTCTCCTTAGGCAACATGGTGGTCTCCTGTTCCCATAAGGCCATGGTATTCATGACAAACT